CATAGCAATAATCTTAATGCTATGATAACAATGGCGATAGTTTTGTTGTGCCGGTGAGTCTAGGAATGTAATTGTGTAGTCCAATTTGTGTTGTTAAAGTTAAACAACAAATTTTATATTAGTATTATAATAATATAATAAACATAAAAACCTACCTTGTATTAGTATCACATAAAAGAAGGCAAATAAAAATTATTCTTGACCTGGAAAATAGAAGCAGTGACCTGGATTGCTTAAGCCAGCTCAAGCGGTTGATCTGCAGAATATTTTTAGCCGCGAACCAATAGGTATTGATTGTTTATGTAGGTTAAAAACATGCATTACACCTCAACTCCAATAGTGTGATGTGTATAGTGTTTTAAACACGAAAAACTTACGTTTTATTATACTGCAAAACTCAGGTTAGACGAGTAGACGCCTCTTAACATATTTTCTGCACTTTAAAGCCTCAAACTTAAAGATAATTGATAAAACTTAGCTCCAAAATTTATCACTAGCTACCCTCTTCAAAATTTCCAAATTTCTTGACAAACCACACACTGTTAACTTTCACCACTCGGTCCACAGTTATAGTTCTTCTCAATGTGCGACTTTCAAATGAAAATTCCCTCATTTTTCGAAAAATTTTATTAAATTTCTCAGCATTTCGCTGAGTCCCGCATCCTCGAATGTACTTGACTTTTGAGATAGAGTGTTGCTATAAATGTTTGAAATTACAAATTGGGTCAGAGGGGTGACCAAAAAAAAGGTCCTCGAGAATACAAAAGCGAAACAAAGCACTGAATATTTAATTATAATAAACCTTTCAATGGAAAAAATCTGTATAAATATATAGAATAACATGAAAATATTTTTTAATATTAACAAATACAATTCACCTAACGACATCTATAGATACATTGCTGAACTATTTCGTAAACTGCTATTACCGACTACGTTACTCAGAACGAGAGCTGACGAGACTGCTTTACCGATAGGACCATACGCCATCTTGCTATTATTACAGAAGGTTGCATTTGTCGCTCCGTCAACAATGTGAAAAGTAAAATGTTTCGTAATTTTTTGCAGTGTTTGTGGTGTGAAATGTGAGATTTGTACTGTGAAATAAAAACTAGAAGCATGGAGGAACCTATCGAGGAGCACAGGGTCATTCCCGGTGAGTGCTGAGCGTCAAAATATGAGTCAGAAAAGGCGAGTGTCACTTGTGCTAGGTCGTGTAATGGTAGCTTTCCCGGTTTCAGAACTCTATTTTCTGGTAGCGAAATTCCTCTCCGGGGGTCCTCTGAAGGAAACTGCAAAGGTAATTGAGCAATGTGTATATCTGAATTATATTTTAAAAACGTTCAATCACTTAAAGAGGACCGTTTTTGTTGCAGACTTTGCTAAAAGAGTTGGAGAGTGTAGAGGTAAGTTGGAGCTTACTATTGCCGGGTTTAAAGCTTATTATTGTTTTGGTAGGAAGCGCACGTGGTTGGGGCTGTCAAACTTGCTGAAAGTTGCTGAAAAGTTTGTTGAAGTGTTTGCTCTGTGGCAGGTGCTGCCGCGTCGGCTCGACTGGGAGGGCACCGAACACTCGCAGTCCTACGACGAATTGGTAAGTTTTTCAGAGTTTTCCCGCTGAAAATAGTATTTATTTACGTTTTCCTACGAGATAAGCGATTGGAAAAACGTAAACTGTGACAAAACGACAAATTTCCTTAAAACGTATTATGCACAGATCTGATCGTGAAAATACGATGGAAATTCGAGAAATTAGTTTTTGTGGTGTTTCTGTGATTATTTTGCAGTTTTTGGGAAATTTGCAAAATTTTTGTTTTATCATGCAATGGCTGGGCGGAACGGTGTCGTAATGAGACATATCTCTTTCTCTATTATACTTACGGGCTGGCTGGGAGTTTAGCGCTGCTGTCTCGCTCTAGCGTCCGAGCAATGCGGTGAGCGCTCACGATTGGCGTTCCCGCGCCGATCTATTCCGATTATACACGAACGCCGCTGCAACGAAATCGGCGCGCTCTTACAAAGTTTTTCAACTTTACAACAAGTTTTTGCGTGACGTAGAAAATTACCGAAAGCGATTGTGATACGGACATGTATACGACCACACATCGTCTTCCCATGAATATCGTCGAACGCAAATATAAATCTGCGTAAGCAGCAAACTCTCCACATTTATCAATTTAACAGATGGGGATCAAAATGACCATAATGACCGTTTCTTCTCTAGGGGTCAAGATTTTCACATAGCTATCGATGGTACATCATAGCCCCATCAACCAAAAGGCGGGCTGCGCCACTGGTGGACGTGGCTGGATATTATTTATGTCTTTCTAATTAACCTGTTACTTGGTCAACAATTTTTTTGCCAGTTCAAATAAATAAATCTTAAATACACACCTGCGTTTCTGCGCGATTCCCGCCTAAAACGCATTTCGTTGTTTATTCGTAAAAACATGTCTGACGAAAATTGTACTCCACCTGGAAGCCCGGGATCGCCGCAAAGTCATGTAGAACCCTCTCACAATTGTGATGATAATCGTCATAAGATTCAGGCATAGTAAGATGCAATATATTGGACATCATTTGCAATGTTTGTTCTAGTTTTTCTATTAAGTTCTACATTACATTTTGTAGTTCTTTTTTCAAATAAATACTTTTTGACTTTGATTTCCTTCACTTTCTTACACATTATCTTAACTCCCCGGAACATGGAATGAAAAGTTTGACTTGTACTGGGCGGGAAAGACAAATTTGGCACTTTCTTTCAAGGCGGCCTGGGTTATACCTTAGTATACCAAAAGTCAAGTGTCGTAACCACCCGTGGTATACTACGCCTGATGGTCCAATTGTCTGTGCTCCACCGGTGGTGCACCTCGAGGTTAACGTAACGAGATGGCAGCAGAAAAAACAAACTCTAATGCTGTTGAATGTCAAATGAATTGTAACACCTTTTTTTTTATTGTAAATACCAAGTGACGGGACGAATAAGCCGCGCGTCTGGCGGTAAGCGACACGCCTATACGTAACAGCAGCAGTGCCACTTAGAGCTTTTTATCGCAAAGATCTGAGGGGCACTGCCACTGCGTCTGTCACCCTGAGACATACATAAGTTGACAAGTCCCATGTGCCTGTAATTTCAACAGCCAGCTTACCCTTCCGAACCGGAACGCAGTAATGCTCACATTGCTGCTTGGCGGCAGAAATAGGTAAGATGGCAGTACTATCCTGGACGAACTCTTTCACAAGGAGCTTTCAGTTTGAGCCGATCAGAAAAAGTATTAAGTCCTTGCAATAAGAGCGAGAAAGATGTTGCGCGAAGAAACGCGCGTCTTTTTCGTTCTTATGCAAATTCAGCTTTGAGTAGCTTAATAGATGACCTAGCATACTAGCTACAAATTTCACGCATACTGCTATCAGGCCAGCCGCTACGAAGAGCTACCATGGGACCGGCTCGTAGACGTCTGCAGCCGCGCGCTGCGCCTCGCTCGCGGGGCAGAGGCAGCAGCCGAAGCCGCGTCACCGTCTACGTCAGCTGTAGCGCTGGCACCGCCTACGCCGGCGGCTACGCCCGCTGTGCCGTCATCGGCGGCCGTGGAAAAAAGTCTAAAGGTGTTGGCACGCCTTTCCCTTCTGAGTGATTCGCTCGTGCACGATCGCCCTAAGTATGCGTCGCATTTGCAAGATCACACTATTGGTGAGTTATTTGTGAACTCAAGAGCACTTAAAATCGTCATATTTGGTAATTCTATCACGCATTATTTTTAACTGCCTCGCAGAGGTCCTAGGTTCGAGTCCCGGGTCGAGAGAAATATTTGTATTTCTCTCGTGAGTTTGGGTGTATTTGTGATTGTCTTTATGTGTGTCCATGGCACCCGCGACGTCGGGTCTCCGTAGTGCGAGGCTATGTTGAGTGCGTGTGCATTTCAATGAACACCTGCAGCCCAAGTAGGACATTGCAGTGAATGAATGAATCCACAGACGAGCCACATCTGAGCGGTGTCAGAAATCAGAAATATGATACAAATATTAGGCAAAATCATATATTTTGCTCTGATACCAATGTAACTAAAGCATGTTATGCAAACTCCCAAACCCGAGATAGAAAAGTTTGTTTTCTACACTGACTTGGCTGAAAATACATTTACTGGACTTAGGGATTACAATATGATATGACGGTCCTTGCAGTGCGTCGGCTGGTCCGTCGCGAGCTGGGCATCTCCCCCGCGACATCGGCCGGCGGCCGCGGCGGGCAGGCCATGTTCCCGCCGCGGATGCTCAGCGGGCTGCAGCTGCAGCGGAGGACCCTCGGCCACTTGTCCGCCGTCTACTGCCTCGTGTTCGACTGCACAGGCAGATACGTCATCACGGTCGGTACACCAATATTTATTTGTCTATTTATATTCAGCGTACAAAGACATAGATACGTACCTTGTAGACTAACATACATAACAATAACATAATAATACACTAAATACTATACCCGAGCCAACTGTTTATTTAACTTTTGACAGTTCGAATTCTAATCAATCAGTGATGTCCTAACGCTCTGCATTTCTGATTCGAATTTTTATAACAATCGATTTTATTTATGAAGAAGTTTTAATCGTGGAGGCGACCGGGTTCAAAAAAGAAGTTATTGTCCGATTGGGATCGTAATGTTGCGTTTGACAATTTGTGTACTCAAGAATTAATAATTAATGTTAATGAGGATTCAAGTGATGAACAATAAGAATTTATTATAATTATTTGTAATTTATTTCATTTCATTATAATTTATTAGACAGGCAACAAAGTTTATGAACTTAAATAATCTTTGATACATAATCTGTTGACTCGATAAATATCGGAGCTAAATAGCACGTCTCTTCACTAAAATTAAAAAATAAAAGAGTCGAGGAAGTATTGCACTTTTTACCTATGGAAGTATTACTTCGGAGGCATGCATATGTCAAAAGTTATATAAAAGGTTGGACGTAGTATAATTGGTTACACGTACTGCCTGCGACGTGTGACGCAACGAGGGTGTCCGTTAGCCGGCCTCGGAAACGGCGGTGCAATCTACGTACTGAGCTCACTAACGGCAATAAAAAGCAAACGGCCGCTGCAGGGCGCGGACGACCTGCTGGTGAAGGTGTGGTCGGCCGTGGACGGGCGGCTGCTGTCGACGTTCCGCGGCGCGGGCGCGGAGATCACGGACGTGTGCGTGTCGCGCGACGGGCAGCTGCTGGCGGCCGGCTCGGTGGAGCGGCTCGTGCGCGTCTGGTCGCTCGTGTGCGGCGCGCCTAAGGCCGTGCTCAGCGCGCACCAGGGGACCATCACCTCGGTGAGGCTTTCGGGAGCTGGTGGGGGAGGATGTAGCCGCGGTAGTCGCGGGTTCGAATATTTGTCTACGAAATTTAATTTGAAATTTACCATGAGCTTTTCGGGCCATTAAAACATGAAGTCCCCAGCCCATATTGGGCCAGGGTGGCGGATATTGGCGTCAACCCTCGTCTGAATGGGGACCCGTGCTCCGCAGTGGGACGTATAAATGGGTTGGTGATGATGATAATGATGACGGAGAGCAAGGTAGGGTAGAGTGATGGTATCAATTATCGATATTTTAAGGGAAGAGTGTCTTTAAATATGAAATAACTTTTGTTTTTAAACATATATCAAAAGCGATTAGTTTACTTGGCAGATTTAATACTCAAGAAAGATTTTTGTTTCATAGAAAACCATTATGATTTTTCCTAAAAAGCTACAATGTCTCTAAATCTCTTGTAATGAACACCAAAAATCCAATCAAATAATCAGTAATCGATACTTGCCAATAATGAACACCCAGTAATTGACTAATAAGAAATATGTTATTTACAATTATTTAAATTATAATCAATAGACATTAATTCACGCGCATAAAGAAACTCAATCAGACTTTTTGTTGAAAGTGTACGTAAGACTACATTTTATTTAAAAAGTCCATAGTACAATTTATAATAAATTCCCAATTGGAATAAAAATTTAACTAAGTTACGAGGCGACCAAGTGGTCCACTTGGTGGTAAGAGACACGCCTGTCCGTAACACTGGCAGTGTCACTCTGAGTTTTAAATCGCAATGGTACATAATGTGACAAGTCTCATGTGTCTGTAATTTCTTCAACTCCTTCGCCTTTCAAAATCGAAACCGAGTAATGCTCATATTATTGCTTGATGGTAGGAATAGGTAAGATGGCAGCACTTCTTTGGACGAACTCTACTGCTATTAATTGAAAAAATGTAATTAAACAATTGTAAAAAAAGCCGATTTCAACATTTTGCCAAGTTTCATTGAAACGGGTGAGCGGAAAGTGCGCGAAACCCAGTTCGCCGTCCTCGAGGTGGAGAATGTGACAGGTGCACTGGGCGCCGGGCATGCGCGGCGACGTGCGCTGGCTGGCGTCGACGTCGACGGACGGCTCGGTGGCGTTCTGGACGTGCTCGGCCGACGGGCAGTTCCTGTCGCAGCCCGTGCAGTACGTGGAGCGCATGCGGCCCGGCGCCTGCCACATGATCTGCGCCGCGTGGTCGGCGGGCGGCGCCTTCCTGGCGGCGGGCTCGGCCGACCAGCACGTGCGCGTGTACCAGCTGCCGGCCGGCGCCGGGCCGCCGCGCCGCGTGCTGGAGACGGCCGTGCACGCCGACGCCGTGGACTCGCTGTCGTGGGCGCGCGGCGGCCTGCGCCTGGTCTCGGGCAGCAAGGACGGCAGCGCCGCGCTGTGGGCGCTGCACGCCACGCAGTGGCGCCACACGCTGCTGCGCTGCGAGCCCGCGCGCGCCGACCACGACCCGCACAAGCGGCTCAAGGTGACTCGAGCGCGTTCAGGTCGAGGGAACACCGGCCACCCGCTTTCGTGCTCCTGCTTACTATTTCTGTTTTTTGTGTGTGGCATTATGAAAGTATGCATGGAGAAACGATAAAATTATGGAAATCACTATTGCAAATTGCAGTCGATAAATATTCCATCGACTATTTATTTATTTGAAAAGAGCAATCCCTAGAGTTTCTTGCTCGTTCTTCTCAGGGAGGTCAGCGTAGTGAACGAGCAGTAGTTTAAATGTGACGATTTCAAGTGTAAATTTATTTTACCTATGGAATAAATAATCTTTGACTTTGACTTTGACTATCGACTGAATATTGATCACGCTTATGGAACAAATAGTCGAACTTATTTCATTTGCATCGCCCTCGACCCATTATTCATCCGATTATTGACAGATACACTGTATTTAGAACTATGTTTATGAAAAATACAAAGAGACATTTTAAAATTCTGAATTTTAATTCAATGTAGATTATCAAATCCGGTCACTCTTGCTAAGATGTATATGAATAAAAAGAATTGATCTGGATACTAGTAGGCCATCTGTCAGAATAACAATAAAGAAGGCAATAACACAGTTAGTAACCATAAGAATGTCGCAACATTCACAATTTCAGTCATTTTTGGCAAAATTTTATCTCCTGTCGCAATCTATCGATAAAACTATCGACAACAAGTGCATAAGTATTTAAAATTATATGTCATTTTACTCCGTTTTAAAAAAAGACAGACTATAGTAACATGTGCCTATAGGTGAGAGACAAAGAACCTTAAGTGCTAAATAGTATTATTATTACAATGCGTTTTGAAGAGAGCGACGTTCTACATTCCTAAATATGGTCTTAAGAACCTTTACCTCTCATCTACAGATAAATATATCCCACACTACATTGAGAGTTAAGCAACTCTGATGTTCGCCAATCGCGTGCCTCTCAACGTAGCACATGATTGGACAGGATTTCGAATTTCACTTCACGTGATGACAGAGTCGCGTGATTGGTCATTTCAAACATTGTATTTACAAAATAAACAATGTGATCGAGACGGAACCAATCAAAACTCTCACTTGCATTTTAACACTCTTGTAATGTTGATTATCGTGTTTTTTTTTTTCGAACCATTTTGTATAGAGCTACTACATATTTACTTAGTAAAATTAATAACCATTAGGTGACGATGGTGTGCTGGGACTGCAGCGACGCGTACGTCTTCACGGCGGTCTCCGACAACACGATTCGGGTGAGTGGTCTCTTTCTGTACGAAGCAAAGGTCAATCATATAACCAGCTAAAAAAGGAGTACAAATCCATTATGTGTTCACTATACGTTCGAGTTCCGGCGTCAAAAGATGTCACTACCATTTTATTTATATTAAGACAAGCTGTAGGGTTAGCACGACAGGGCGCTATTTACGCGAGAACGGCTTAAAGCGCGGGATCTCTACGCGAGAATAGTGTCGCTTTCGCGTATGTCGCGCTTTATTATGCTAGCCCTACAGATCTCCTTGTGCAAGAATATACTTTTATACCGACTCACTACGGGAAAAGTGAACAGAAACATGGCCAAAATTGCGATTGAAAACGAACTGCATTTTTCAGTTATTTATTTCATTATACGACGTAAGAATAAGCCGAATTCATGCATAAATAATAATAATTTATTTATTTTACATTGCACATGATTATAATGCAGATGGTTTATGCTGTTTTGGTATACGGATAGACAGAAGCATCAGCCTTTGACTTGCTATGGTCCTGACACACACCATTCGCATCGTCGACGTTCATATTGTAATACGATAAATCATAAAAATAATTGAAAATATAATAGTACGTGTGGCGCACTGGCAATGCTTATCTGATCTTTGCGATTGAAAGCTTTGAACGCAGTGCAACTGCTACGGATAGACGTGTCACTCATCATCAGATGTATAGCTCGTTTTTTCCATCCATCGAGTAAATAACCAGAAATAGAGACGAAATAAGGGTCATCCATCCCTGGCAACTCATCAAGCAAATATAAATATAAGGCCCATATCACTTTTAATATAATAAATATCAACTCGCGCTTGAGCTGAAATCACAAATTAGAAAGCTGAAATAGTACAGCGCCAACAACTGACCTGTGTGTACGGATCCGTATATTCCGAAAACGCGTGGTCGAATTGAAGTGAAACAATTGACGACACCCGAATTCGGGCTGGCCAATCGGAGCGCAGTTGTCACCGTAATGATTTGGCAGAATAGTTTTGAACAAGCGAAGTGACATTTTGTCTCCATTTGTGGCCGTCGGGCGCTGTCGCAGGTGTGGTGCTCGCGCACGTGCGCGCAGGTGCGCTGCCTGCTGGGCCACCGCGACGAGGCCTACGTGCTGGAGGCGCACCCCTTCCTGGCCGGGGTGGTGCTGTCGGCGGGCCACGACGGCCAGCTGTTCGTCTGGGACGCGGCGCGGGGGGAGGTGAGGCTCGCATTTGCTACTAGAGCGTTCAAGCGCCTCCTGCACTGACTGCTTGAAGAGCTCATGCTTTTTATTTATTTAAGAAAACATGCACTCTGGTACAAATCTTATTAAAAATATATTAACTTGTTAACATACCTTGTTGTTCCATTAAATACGTACAAGTATTACAAAATATGAGTTTGTACAATAGACACCTGTCTAAAATGAGAAGAATAGGTGACGCTTATCAGAAAATAAATAAAACAATATATTTATTATACAATATAGACTGTAATTAAACCATCTGTGACAGTGGGTTTAGTTTAGTCATGTGGTTCTCTGTCAAATGTTATGTCTCCCACTGTTTTCTTCTAACTCATCAATTTAAACAGATGTGCATAACTGTGAACCGTCCCGATTAAATTAACCTTGTGAAGACTACCCATCTCCTCAATTTTTATTTTTATTTTATTGGATAAGGTACAGCAACAGATTACAGATCCGAATATACATTAACAAAACTATTCGACATGAATGAATATAAACCTGCAATCCAATTATAGCTATACACAACACTTTAGTAAAAACATTTGATACCTAGAAGAATTATTTAAATATGCTTAACAAATAAAAAAAAGAGATAAAAGATATTAAAAAAAAAATTACGTACTTTCGCGTTTGGGCTCATTAAATTGGTCTCGACGAGTCCATAAGTATAGTCTGTCTGTTTTTAAGATGGAGAACAATAACAGTTCATTGGTTCAAAAATGTCGCCCGCTTGCAAACAGCTAGTGTTTGCAATCGATAACAATTTTATCGACTATCGACTGAATGCTGGTCACACTAAAGCAATAAATAGCTAAACTTATTTCGGCCTATTCGTCCAACTGCTGGGCACAGATTCATTTGAATCATCATTTTTTGTAAACACACACACATACACTGCATTCAGAACTATGTCTATTAAAAATACGAAGATGAGACATGTTTTAAAGTTTTTACAGTTTTAAATATAATCAAATCCGCCTGTTCCTGTTGTTGATTTCGATACTAGTAGGCCAACTGTCAAAATAAGAATAAAGAAGACAATAACTAACTGCCTCTGTGGCCGAACGGTTACCATGGCGGACTGCCAGGCAGAGGTCCCAAGTTCGATTCCCGGGCTGGGAAAAATATATGTGTGGCCTACATTTATTTCTCTCGTGAGTTTGGGTGTAATTTATGAAAAAAAATCGATAAAACTGTTGACCACAACTTGACTATTTAAAATTTTACGCAAACTAGCAACTCTGTAAATACGTCTTCAAAAAAAAAAACAGACTATAATAAGTACGTATCGGACTATGAACCGTCTGATCGGACTTGCTCGGACAGGTGATAGCGAAGTTCCACAACGAGATCACGGGCCAAGGCGACGGCGCCATCTTCGACGCGAAGTGGGGCAGCGCCTGCACCGTCGCAGCCTCCGACAGCCACGGACACCTGCTGCTGCTTGGCCTGGGCCAGGGCGACCCGCTGCTTAAGACGCTGCCCACCGAGCTCTTCTTCCACACCGACTACAGGCCACTCGGTGAGACCGGCACTCCACTGCCACAAATTCATGTATACCTTTTATAATGAGATTCTGGTTGGTTTTCGAAATTGAGTCATTTACGGTTTCAAACTGTAGTGAAACAGAAACTTTATACTAAAGGCTAGTTTTGCCTCGATTATGTTATTTCAAATAATAGTATTCATACCGAGTGGCCTACGGAATAGGTCCGAGATTTTAAAACCTAATTATGTAATGATGGCATACAATACTTTTTCTACGAGTATATAAAATTATGAAACAGAACCAATATTTATTAGATATTTTGTTATCGGTCCATGACAACAAACGTAATTTTTTTTAATCCCTAATCAATGCGTTTGATACCTGTAAACCTAAATTTCCATATCTACACGTACTCATATTTGGTGGCTAGTGTTATAATTTAATATTATGTTTGTAAACTTACATTATTATGTATATTGCTTACCTTCGTTATTTACACTATTTACATTATTTGCTTTACATCTTACACTTTTGCTTGATATATATATGTATAGTATTTACAGTTAGGTATATATATTTGCGTGTGATGCACTTTGGTGGCATGGCTTACTGGGCTGCGATCGCTCACCATATGGCACTGGCAGAAAACCAGCACTGTTTGACTTCTCTCGGTCTACAGTATTTATGCTGAGTCAGGGCCATTTCAGCACAAACTGTAGTCATAGGTACATTAAAATTTTATCACTTGTTATAGTATTTGTTTGTTTTTCTCACAGTATTTGTTTTTCTCGCAATATGTGTTTTGTATAAATGTGTATAAAATTAATAATGAATGTTCTATGTGCTTTAATGTTATACTCTGTGAAGTGATTGTAAATGTTTTGTTTCTGTTTGTATTTGTGCTGAATAAACGTGTTATCTATCTCTCTAATCCGTTTATAAGGGTGGGAAACGGTTCCACCATACAACCTCTTCATATATGTATTTAGACGAAAGCTAAATAAA